TTCTCGGAGGTCGGCTAAATGGTCCGTCTGGAGTTTGGATTTCACAATCATATCATCTATGTACGCCTCCACATTCCTCCCAATTTGGTCAAAGAAGACCGTGTTTATCATTCTCTGGAAGGTGGCCAAGGTGTTCTTCAAACCAAATGGCATGACCGTATAACAGTATAATCCCTGATCTGTGACAAAGGCTGTTTTCTCTTGGTCCTTCTTCCACAAGGGAATCTAATGGAAGCCAGAGTAGGCGTCCATAAAACTCATTAAAGCGTGGCCGGCTGTAAAGTTGACCAGACTGTCGATCTTAGGCAATGGATAACTATCTTTGGGGCACGCCTTGTTCAAGTCTGTGTAGTCCACACAGATGCGTCAGGTACCATTCGGCTTTTTCACTAGCACAATGTTTGCAACCCAGTTAGGGAAATAACATTGCCGAATGAACCCTGCATCCAATAACTTTTTAACTTCGGCAGCAGCCGCCTGGCTTCTTTCTTCGCCATGGTTCCTTTTCTTTTGTCTGACCGGCTTCTTTTTCGGATCCACAGCCAGCTTATGTACTGCCAAGTCTGGACTTATACCTGGCATCTCATGTACCTCAAATGCGAAGATATCCTTGAATTCCTTCAAGAGTTGGTGAAAATCATCACCAAGCGCAGCAAGAGCAGTCGTCCCAACTTTAATAGTTCGGTTAGGACGTGAGTCGTCCAGGACGACGTCCACATGCTCATCAGTCGGCTGAGGGCGGAACTCGTCTGACCGCTCCTCGGCCAGTGATTGCTATCGTTTTTCTTTTCTCTCGACCTCCAGATGGGTGGCCTTTCTTTTCTTGCCGGTTGCTATTGGGGCAGGCTCGGCTCCCTTGATTTGCTCAAGGCAGTATTCTCTCCACTAGGGCCAGATGCCACCACGGGGGGCTTGATATCAGAGAGATAACATTCTCTGGCCATCTTCTAGTCTCCCCTTAGGGAGCCGACTGTTCCATCATCCCTCTCAAACTTGAGGAGCATGAGAGACGGAATGATAACAGCTTTTGAATTGTTCAGAGTGGGTCGCCCTAAGACCATATTGTAGGCCGACAGTTCTTCGACCACCAAAAATCGGACCACCATGTGACGTCCCTCCCCTTTCTCACCAAGGCGGACAGGTAGATACACTCGTCCAACTGGGTGGACGACTCCTCCTCCGAATCCTACTAAAGGATGGGAGACAGGATGCATGCTCTCAGTATTGTACTGAGATTAGTCAAGCATCGATAACTGATGAGGTCAGATGAGCTTCCGGTATCAATAAGTATTCGACCAACCCTTTGGTTGGCCACCTTGCATTCAATTACAATAGGGTCGTCATGCGGCCCCCTAACATCTCCCCAATCTTCCTTAGTGATTACAACCTCAAGAAATGAACTTTTGGAGATCCGTCCTTGCTCGACGAAGTTAACATCCAGACGCTTGATGTTGTCTTTGTTGGCCCGGATAGTAGGGCCACCTCCTGCGAAGCCGCCTGCTATGGTATAAATGGGCGCTTTGTCGGTGTCAGTGCTGTCGGCTTACTGTTGCTTCCTTTTGGCCGCCTGTTTCTATTTGGGGGTGGATTCCCCTTGGACTTCTTGACGTAGGAGTCAAGATCTCCTTTGTCTGCCAGGCGGTCTAGAAGGCGCTTGAGGATGATACATTCATTGGTTTCATGACCAATGTCCTTATGGTAGTGACAGTATTTACTTTGGTTCCGGTTGCTGACAGAACCCTTCATGGCAGTCGGCTTCTCAATAGAGAGTCGGTCTTTTATTTCATTCAGGATGGCATGGCTATCCTTGTTAAACTCATACTTGTGGGAGTATGGTTTAAATTTCTTCTTCTTCTTCTGGGACGGCTATTCAGAGGAGTCAGCTGCCCAGACTTCTTTTCTCTTTTTCTCTTCTTTATTGGCTGACTGCTTTGGCCGGTGTTCTCCTTTTTCGGACTTTTTGTGGTCCGACTTCTTTCCAACATTACAGAGGTCAGTTGCCTGAATGTAGGCGTCCGCCTCCATCATTGCTTCTTGGAGGGTGGTCACCCTCTTTTTGACGAGGTCGAATTTGAAGTTCAACCCGTCCTTCAGCCCTTTGAAAAACTCTGTATAGGCTACTTCATCAGGTATTCCTTGTATCTGACTTCTCATCAGATTGAACCTTTTGATGTAAGAGCGCAGTCCCTCCTTCTCTCCCTGCTGTATGGCCCCCAAATCAAGGGTGGTCTTCTTAGCAGGAATGTTCATTGTGAAGTTTGATGTGAACAAGTAGGCGAGGGTCTTAAAATTGTTAATACACCCGGCCGGCAAGTTGCCAAACCATTGCTCGGCGACTCCCTTCAGTGTGGCCGGGAAACATTTGCACCATGTGGCGTCATCCAATCCTTGGAGGTACATTAGGTTGGTGTATGCCATCATGTGATCTTCTGGGTTGGTAGTGCCATCATATGCCCCTACCAACACATTTTTTACTTTGGTCGGCTGGGCGGCCTCTATTATTTCCTTAGAGAAGACGGATTGCTGTTCTCCAAGTTTGAGCAACCTAAGTTGCCAGTCCAAAGGCTGGACATTCCTTGCCGCCTGTCCTCCAAAAAGAGTAGGTTGCATGAAATATTGGGATTGTGGGACGTATGGTTAAGGGACATACGGCGATGCCTGGTGCTTCTGGGAAGCAGGACGAGAAGAGGCGCCGGGCGTCTGGCTCTCGTAATTTGATTTTGAATACCTCATGGAGGTATTATGTAGGCTGTCTTGGAAATCAGAAGTAGAGGCTGACTCTGACAGTAGGTCATTCTTCTTCTGCTTAAGCAACTTTCGAGCATCAGAGTATGTTCTCTTTGACCCGTCCGGCTGAACATAACGGATGGGCTTTCTCTTCCCTGGGGAGGGAAAGTGGTACTTAGTTAGGTCGATCACTGGTTCCTCCCTTGCCCTAAGCTTGGGGTAAGGAGTCGCCTCCCGATCCTTTACAAGCTTCTTCCTCTCAGATTGGGAGGGTCTTCTGGCCGACTGTTCCTTTGGTGGAACAGTCGTCCTTTTGTTGATTAGATCCTGGATCTCCCCCTTGAAACTATTCTATTGATGGGGGCAGATCCCTCGGCCGCCTGTTGATGATCAAGCGGCTGGCCGGCTGGTTATTAGATCCAGTAAGGCAGTCTTCTCGTTCCATCCTTTTGGAGGGACGGGTGCGTCGAGCTCTTAAGGTCCCGTCAGAGGCCGTATGAGTCTCGACTTCAATTTCATTGTCAGTGTCCTGGTCCGTCTGAACCAAGGGATCATTCATGGGACGCTTGTCACTTAGAATCGGTACAGACTGTGATTCCATCTCGAAAGTACTCTCCCCACAGACGGCGCCAAAATGTTTTGGGGTTTTCTGGTGTCCTGCGATTGAGTTACAATTCCGGGACTGGTACCCTTGCGCCTGTACTTGCAAAACAACGGAGACTCCGGGTGGTGGGAGCTCCGCCTCCAACGATCAAGTTAGTACTTGTTTGTGGAGTAAAAAGGTGCGGAAAGTAAAGGGTGATCTGGTTCCTCTAGGGGAGGAGTGATCAGGAAGTGCAGTTAATCGCTAAGTCAGGTCTAGCAATTAGAAAGCGCGGATGTTTAGGTTTCTCTAAGCGAGAGTAATTAATTCTGAATAATATCTTAAATGGAGGCTTAATTTCTGTATTTATAGCCTCAGGATGCGTGCCCAATACTAGGTTTAGGTCAACCTAGGGCTGATTGGGCCTTTCTCGGAAACCGGGCCTTGGTGGCCGTTCTCCTGGTGGGCAGATAGCAGGCCACGTGGCGTGGCGCGATTGGTCCATGCTGGACTGATTGCTGCTTGACACGTGTCAGATCCTTGTTGGTCTATGTGGCGACACATGGCAGGACCTGATTGGTCCACGTGGCAGACAGTGATTGGGCGGGGAAAATCCCCTAATCAATCATCATCTCTGTTTTTTTAACAATTTGTTAATGTTTTTGCAAATAAATCCATTATTTAACTAATAATTTTACATTTATTTGAAATGGAACTTACATTTCTTCAGAATCTGTCTTCTCCGAAGTAATCTTCTCTGAAATGTTCATCTCCGAAGTGTTCTTCTCCGTTTCGATTCTACAAAGATAGCACCAAATATAGTAGATTTTAGTCATTTTTGCACAAAAAATAAGTGTAATCATAGTAGATTATGTTTCAGAACATAAAAGCGCAAATTAAAATTGAAAATCTAGGGTTTGTACACAAAATTGTACTAAATGAACAAATTTCTTACTCTTTTTTCTTGGAATGTTCTTGCGATTGAAGAACTTCATCGCCAATGTCAGACATTTGTAGTAATTTTGACGCAGTTTGCAGTATTTTTGAAGCAATTGGTAGTGATGTTGTTGCGATTTTTTGTTTTGTAGAGAGAGAAATTGATGACGAAAAGTTTCTGGATTTGAAATGGCGGTTTTGTATTTTTTTTTTATGTATAAATATGTGGGGTAGGGCGGTTAATTGCAGTAACCGTGGTTAGTTGGAAGTTACTGAAGGTAAATGTGGTTAGTGGGGTTAAAGGGTATATGGTAATTTAGGGGGGGGGGGGGGGGTAGGGAGCTATGCTTAAAGGGGGGTGTAGCCATTAAGAATTATATAAGATATGCCACTTGAATCATAGTGTTATATTGGCCCAATAATAAGGATTGATGACCAAAATTTTGGTTCTGGTCCTTTTGCTCAATTCAAGTAATGTAGTACTCTATAGAATATAAGGGTAACTCTAACTACTATTAAGGTAATTTGATCCGTTTTACAATAAGGCAAAAGTTAATGACTGTTCGAGGCGTCGAATAAGATAATTAAGACTAAAACTATTAAACTAAAATTAATACTAAATACACCGATCGACGCGTGAATTTGTCATGCATTTCCAAATTATTTAGGTAATATTTTAATTGTTTATTTAACGCTCCGAGAGCGTTCATTAGCAAAATCATTACGATTAACTTGATAAAAGTTCACTTTAATCGAGAATTTGTATTGGACATATGTTGCATCCGGCTCCGCGACCTTTGGGTGTGTGTATATACAGGCTACTACATCTGTCAAATTAATTCTCTCCATCCCTCCGAATCTTGTTCCTCCGACCATCACCGAATTCATGATCTCCTCCTGTTAATAGATCACATCAACTTCAGATCTTGTTCAATCCTTCATCATCTCAGGTACATTTTCAATTTCACTTTTACAATCTTGCATTTGATTTGGGTCTTCAACAATTCTGTAGCTCAATTTTGTTGCCAACAATTTATTACTGATCAAACAATACGCAATAATGAATTCAAATTACGGAAAGAATGGTATGAACAGCTTTGATTTCGATCTGGGTATTGGATCAAATCGTCCTAAATCACTAAATGATCAGAAAAACAAACCCAATTCATCTTATTCATATATGTCATCTGCAAATTCTTCGTTTACGCAATCTAAACCCGGAACCACAATGCCGTCATGGCAGCCTGGAAAGCCTTCATGGACTCATCAACCCGCACCGAGTAACACCGGGGTTGCTCGGTCCGAGTTGGGTGGTCCAAGTTCAATGGTGGGGGATATATTTGGGAAGAGTTGGAACTCTCCTGCACCTGCTGCCACTGGGCAGAGTGTTAACATTGGGGTTGTGAATAAGAACCCTAATTTGTTTGGAGATTTGGTGGGTGCTGCCTTGGGGCAGAACAAAAGTAGTAGTAATGTTCCTTTGAAGAGTGCTGCTCCTGTTAAGAGCTCGTTTTCGATGGGGGGCATGGCAGATTCGTTGCCAAAAACGAATAATGGTAGTGTAGGGAAGAATGGTGGTGGTGTCGGTGGTGCTGGTTTGGGTTCTTCCTCCCAGGGCTTTGGAAGTTTTGGAGGTGCAACCAATAGTGGTAATAGTGTTTATGGGAATACTGGTGTGAACAAGAGCTCGGGTATCGGTGGTGCTTCGGTAAGGGGTGGGGGTGGTGGGATTGGAATGGGAACGAATTCGAATAAAGACCCATTTGGTTCTTTGGTTGATTTTTCGTCGAAGCCAATGGGTGGTGGTAGTCTTAATGCGTCTTCTAAAGCTACTGCTTCTTCCTCTTCAGAGGATTTTGGTTTTGGGGATTTCCAAAATGCGTCGAAATCAAATACATCTGCGTTCCCGTCTGGAAACAGCAACTCCTGGGGATCTAATTCAGGTTCAATTCCACAAATGGATAGTTTTGCCCCTCAGAAGAATCCTGCACCTGTACAATCTAGTGGCGATTCATTTGACATGTTTTTTTCACCATCAGTCACTTCCGGTTTTAGTGGTGGTGCTGCAGCACCAGATAATGCTCCTAGTGGACAAGAGTTTTCAGGTGGGGATGATTGGGGTTTTGCCTCAGATTATGATGGAGGACATGATGGGAGCAGTATTACTGAGATTGAAGGGCTTCCGCCGCCTCCTGTTGGTGTTTCAGCTTCTACTGCAAAGTCTAAAGGCCTGGATAACTATAAACAGGGGCAGTTTGCTGATGCGATTAAGTGGCTTTCTTGGGCTGAAATTCTTCAAGAGAAAGCTGGTGAGGCTTCTGGAACTGTGGAGGTCTTGACTTGTAGGGCTTCATGCTACAAGGAAGTTGGGGAGTACAAGAAGGCTGTTGCTGATTGTACCAAGGTACAATTTTCTCCTTCAACTTGTTTTAGATCATATATTATATATGTAATGTTTTTCTCAATTTTACTTTCCTATATGTCTGAGAATGGCTTTAGTTATTCAGTTTCTCATCGCATTGTGAATCTTTTGGTCTGGAATGTCAGATTAATGGAAATATCTTGTAGTGAATTAGCAAGTGTTATATAGGCATACCAATCATATATAGGGTGATAATGACACAAGAACCCTGTACATGTTTGAATACTCAGGAAAATTGTTTAGACTTCTGATCTGAAATTAAAATTAGAGCAAGAGGTTGTTCACTATCTTGCAGTCTAAAGTGATCATCCTTATTATCCTCAAGAATGGTTTTGTAAGACTTATGCTAACTCTATGAAGCTTTTAAATGGACCATCAGGTAGAACTCATCCAGAAAAGCTTTACATTTAGGAAATTTTGTTAGAGAAAACCTTTTAAAGCAACTTTTTTGTCAGGAAAAACCTTATAAATTTTTTTTGGCAACTTAAAACCTGATTGTAATTTTTTTTGTTACAGACAACCAACACTCAGTTTCCGGCATTGACTTGGTCTTTTCCGGTGTTGACCTCCCTTGTGCAGGTCACATGCCTATTTTTTTACTAATCCCACCCCATTTCTTCTAATTTCTCTCTAAGTTCTCTCTTTCTCACTCTCTTTTTAGATTCCCACCATGTTTAAACCCTTATTCTCTCTCTTTTCTTCAAAAACACATTTCTGCCCAAATTATACTTCAAAATTATATCAAACAAACAGTCCCAAATTATACTACAAAATAGAATTCAATTCCATAATCAAACAAAAACCCATTAAAATTAGATCAAATTCTACCCAAAAAAAAAAAAAATTAAAAAAAAAAGAGCAAAACCTGGTAACGCCAAGGTAGATGGAACTACGTTTACCAGCAATAGAAGGCGGCATTTTACTAATCCTATCTTTAGCAGTAGACCCTCCTCTTTCTCTCTTTACTTTCTTCATTCAGATGTTGTCAAAGAATAAAAATGCAATATCGGTCGCGATCGCGGAAACGGTCACATTGATGCGGTAACGGAAATAATGCGTTAATCGCGGACTGTGTCACGGTCATCGCGGTAGAATTTTTGTTTTAGATTTTTTGAAGTATTAATTTATTTTTTAATAATAAAATTATTTCTTAAAACAAATTTTCAAATATACATTAATTTTCTTTGTCTAATACCTAGAAAATTAGAATATTATATTATTTATACAATAATATAAAATGGAGTAATAGAAACTGAAAACTAAAGTAAGTTTTACAAATAGTTAAAGTGTCAAAAAGAATGACCTCAGCTAGGATTAACAAAAAATGAGTCACGTGATTCCATTTATTTGTACAAGTATCTTGTCAAAGAAAAATAAAGAGAATGGTGAGGTCAACACTTTAATTTTTTAAAAAAAATTTGATGAGCAACATTTTATTTTATCAAGAACCGTCAGATTGTTGCCAGCTGTCCCACTATTCCCACCCATGACCCATCTTCACTTACCCCCGCCTTTCACCTTTACCCTCTTTCACTCTATCGAGCAGCCGGCAAGTCGGCACCAATGGATTTTGCCATGAAAATCTGATAAACCAACAAATCTAAGTTATTACTTGGGCGATCCGGTGGTTATCTGCCGGATGTCGCGGTCAAAACTCGGTCTTTTCTAAAAGGCCGTTACAAAACGGCAAATCTCGTAATGGTAGCCTGAAATTCCGTTACAAAACGTCCGCATCGCAACGTATCGGCCGCGATTTTATACTATGGATGTAGTTAGCGCAAATTTAAAAAAAGGGGCAAGAAACCCTAATTTTTTTTTTTTAATTTCTCTAATTTGATGAGTTGGCCACAAATTACACAACAATCTAATAGTTTCCTTGGTCAAAATCAATTTCCAAAAACAATAATTGCAATAAAATTAAACTACCTTGCTTGAAAGATCTTAAATTGAGAGAGAACAACTTGATGAGAGAGAAGATGTTGTAAAACAAGAGTGAGGAAGAGGTAAGTTAGAGGGAAATTAGAAGAAAATGGGTGAGAGTAGTAAAAAAAGAGGCACATGACATGCACAAGGGGGGTCAACGCCGGAAAATAGCAAGTCAATGCCGGAAACTGAGTGTTGGTTGTCTTTAACAAAAAAAAATTTACAATCTGGTTTTAAGTTGCCAAAATTTTTTTATAAGGTTTCTCCTGACAAAAAGTTGGTTTAAAAGGTTTTTTCTGACAAAATTTCCTTACATTTAAAAACCCGCAGCCTCTCATTCAATGTGTCTGTGTGTGTTGTGAAAGGTTTAAAAAATATCCTTAAGAATATAAACTATGCATGATGATCAGACTCTCACTCTAAAGCTTGAGATATTATCTAAATCTATTTACAATTAATCTATGGAGTAGAGTTTGACTTCAAACTCATGAAAAAGGTTAATATGGGGTTTCAGGAAGGGAATTGTACACACTACACAATTGTTTAGAGTGCACGGTGTCTATTACAACTAAGTTTATTAGCCAGTGAAAATAATTGTTGTAGTTGCAATCATGATAATGTTTAGGGAGTCAAAGAAGTGGTATCTCACCGGTTTTGCAACCATCACAATGTAGAAGTTAAAGTTTTGAATAATTCTAGAATCTAGGATCATTATTATAATACAGTTCTAACTCCGAAGTGTGTTTAAACATTCTTCATATATTGTACTTAAAGCTGAAAACTATAATTTGAGTCCATAATGTGAATTTCATGACAATCAATTTATATAGTTGCTTTAATAACAAAGTACTATGTACAATCAATAATGGCTAATTGACTTATAAAGTAATTTTAATGCCATAATTGCTGTTTATGTAATTTTAAGAAAAAAATTTGAGGATTGACATGTTGTATATGGGATGACCTTCATTTGATTACTTAATTACAGTTTTCATACAAAAATGCAAAGCTATTGTGAGTGTGCTGTTTGGTAGGAAAGCAGCAATGATAGATTTAGTGCAAATTTTGATTATGCCATTTTCTTAAATTTAATTCCTTCAGAAAAGTAATTCTCTATCCAATTTGTTCTTGTTAACTTAGGAATTACCTTATACAACATAAACCTGTAAATAGCCAAGAATTGTCTAATATTCACAAATAAAAGATTAGGGACTTTAAGTATAAAGGATATGGTTGAAGAATTCATATGGTCCTCATAGAGAAATGAAAAGTAACCCCTAATATGAGAGATTATCTCATAAAGTACAAGTACCTACAGGATTAGCCCTATTTTGAAGAACAAAGAAACAGATTCTTAAATCTAAGAACCTTTTCCGCAGTTGGAATGGAAGCAGCATTTATCTATTGTTTTGAAACCTCAGGTTTTAGTGAAAAAAAAGTGAATGATGTTCCTGAAAACCAGGACACTCTTACTCTGAATGCATTTTGAGTAGACTTCTCAAGGGTAGGAAGTTCATTTTGCAATTGTCCTCATGTCATAATGTCACATGTTAATCTTTTCATGGAGAAAAAATTGAATGCTGCTAGCGTTCCTTGGATAGCTTTAAAACTGAATAAATTTCATTGATGGAAGCTTCATCTTAATTTGTTTAGTTTTAAAGGTGGATTAAGAAACTGTACCTACACGTTGTGGCTTAGGGTTCTGATTTTTGGTTGACTTAGGACTTAAGGTGGCTTGAGGTTTGATGTGGTTTGAAGCAAGTAGATCCAGTAATACATTCCTATGTTTGATGGTATAGCAAGTTATTAAAGGATTCTTGGTCTAGGTTGGGGAAGCTTTCAAGGGATCAGATGTTCAGAACTTAAGATAGAAGTTGATTTGCAAACCTGGTGAAAATGGAGGATTGGCTTTTGGTTGTTTGGCAGTATTGTGACATTATGGCTATAGCCTATAGGCCTATAGTAACTATTATAAATGTTGAAATTTTCCAATAATGAGTGGTTTATACCATCCTATTAGTAATTGATAGGATTTCTAAAGTAGACTAATTTTATAATTTGAATGGAAAATAAAGATAAGTAGAGTATAGTTTTTCCTGATATCTTGGTGTTTGTGTTATCTTTCACTTTAGATTTTAAACGGGTTAATCTGATTTATTATGTTTTGTCTGATTGATTGTTTTGGGGTGTCAATAGCTTGGATTTTGAATTAATTACTAGCTAGTTACTCTATGTTACTTATTTGTTTGGTCTTCTTGCTTGTCATTGTTGTTAAGGTAGTTGGCATATATTTGTTGCTTACGTTATGCTGATTATATTGAGATGATGCTGTCTAAGAAGAAAAACAAGTGTAAAAATTGGAAAGAGAAAAGATGATTAGGGGAGATACCAACCTGCAAATGGAAAAAATGGTTTTAAGGAATCACATGTTCAGATTATATCATTAGAGCTTTTCTTGTAAATTTATAAAATAAGTCATCTCTAAGGTTGAACAAAATTTTCTTGTTTTGGATAATGGAAATAATCAGCCAACTTGGCTTTATAAATCCAAGCAACACACCTTATGACTCTTACTCCTCGTAGAAAGCAAAATAAATAACTGCTATAAGTAACTGTTTAGAACACATATTGAGATAACTTCCATAACCAACTGTGTTAATCTAATTGTTACCTTATTTTCATAAAATTCACATCATGCTTATCCAAAGCAGTTGCTGCTGCTTGCTTTGTTTATCTAAGATTCTAACTTGTGAAGGGAAAACACAACTCCACCAAACGCTGATGTTTGGATCTGAACTAGTGACCAAGTTGCTATTCCTTGATAAATTGAATTAAGCTCATGATTGTTGTATGCCTCTCCTATACAGATGATGGTAACAGTAATCTCATAATTTCATCCAGAAGTAGCCTTCATCTTTTAAGTTAACCAAACCGGGAAAAAAAACAGAAAAAAAAAAATTTAGATTTAGATTTATCACATGATCTTGCATCCTCCTCTTTAGCTATAGTGCTATACAGCTTTTTGTACTCCTGTCGTGTTACGGTGTAGCAATTTGGGAAGAATCTTGCACAGCCGTACCACTCATTTATTACACCTTTACTGGTTTACATTTTTTTATCACACTTTTTTTTGTAATGGTGCTTTACTTCATGATAAACCATTTTAGAAGCTATATCAATGAGGTGTTTTTTTTTTTTTGCTATTGGTTGATTATCCTTGAGTCTAATTACTTGACAGTCTTGAGACAAAAAAATGTATATATTTTTAAAATTTTTAAATTCTCTGTAGCCAACCTTTTAAAAGCTATGTTTTAATTCACTTGCTTTCCCTATTTCTATACTCATTTGGAGGATCAAATATCCAATAAAGGCTGAAAGCGTTGTGCAAAGTGCAAACAGAAAGATTTTTTTTGTGTTATCATGTTCATCTTTCAAAACCAAAAGAAAATTCTTTTTGATGCAAAGTTTCATCGCAGTTTATTCTGAAATAGCAATATTATAACATTAAAAATCACAGATCATAGCATCTTCTCTTGAAGTGTATTAGACATGCATAGTTTCCCTTTTTTTAACTAAGGAAATGGGATAGTTATGGGGAATATATTGGCTGAAGGATTGCATTCTTGTAGTGACTAGCTACCTAGATACCAATTGGGCTGTGTGCTATTGCTTTTATATGTCTCACACTTATCACGTCTAACTAAAACTCTTTGCTTATATTCCTGACAGTTGTAGTCCCATGCTTATCATCTCTTGCATGCAATTTTGGAAATAGTGTTGGAGAGAATTACTTGTTCTTGCATTATGATATGGCATCTCATCTGTAGCCTACTACTATGTATGCTAGAATAATTTCTCTTATTTTATTATGTAAGCTGACATAAATTTTGTTGGCGGTCTTTGATGTTTATGGATAATCTGTTTTTTTGTTTGATTGGTTAGACATTGGTCTTTCTGTATTGAATTTCTAATTTGGCTTCTCCAGTGAAGAGAGCTGTGTGTTTCTCTTTTGCCTTAAGCATATGAGGTCCTTCGTAGTTTTAATATGTGCTTCGGATTGGTATTTTCCTCCTTAGTGGTTTAATTTTGGTGGGTCCCCTTGTTTTCCGTCTTTGATGAAATTATTTTGTCATTTGAAAAAGAAATAACTTTAGTTTGTTCAGGACCAAAACATGATAGTCTTTTGTCTGACTAGCGGCTGCTACAACATTGAGTACTTTATCTATCTTATGAGTCTTATAAGTTCCTTCTAGAAGAATAAGGGAGAAGGATTACTTACATTGTCAACAACACCAATAAAGTCTTAGTCCTAAATTGATTTGGGGTCGACTAACATGAATCGTCATAAGGAACCGTCCGAAAAGGAAAAAGAGCATAGCAAGATAAGCGGTTGAATAAAACTTTGAAAAAAAAAAAGTGCGTAAAGTGAGAAATAAAGAGTATACAATTAGAGTTTTAAAAGAGGTAAGAGGATAAAACAAGAGGAAAAACATGTTTGTAAAAAAATATAAAGATTTGAGAAAGCTTTAGTAAGGATTACTTACTCTGTCCCCTAAAAAATTTCATTTCAATCAAATATCATCCCTAATTCCCATTTTACCTTTATCTTTCTATTTTTTCTTTTTTTTTGAGGAATTTATCTGCTTTTTATACACTTTTAATCAATCATATGACATTATCTTCCTATATTATTCACTTCTATTCAACAAAACTCCACTACAATTTTTTTTTTCTCACCGTAAATCAACCAAACCCCCCTATCTTATTTTTTTATTCACCTTCTAAGAATTGAGTGCAATAAGAAAATGTGACGTTTAATTAGGGACGGGGGGAGTAGTTTAATTGGTAGCCAAGACATCACATAAAGGAAATCTTTTTAGTTTTGAGCTTCCGTTGCAGTCATTATTGCATTAAAGTTGTGATTTGCTGAGCATGTCAAGGCGCAAATTTTCAAGTTAATTCAGCGTTATGGCTAACTGGTTTCATTGCAATTTTGATTTGGAACAATTTATCAAGAGCTTACTGGTCACTTCCACTGTTTTGTGATACAGGTCCTGGATCGTGACGGAGAAAATGTTTCTGTGCTGGTACAACGTGCACTCCTTTACGAGAGCATGGAGAAATATAGGCTTGGAGCAGATGACCTTAGAACTGTTATGAAACTTGATCCATCAAACAGGGTTGCAAGAAGTACCATCCATCGTTTGAACAAATTGGCTGATTAGAGAAGTGTTACAGATTTTATAGCTTACTCATTTGGTAGTAAGTTTTTATACCTATATGTTCATAGGGTTGTGACTATAATGTGCTATCCCCAAGGGGTGTAATACATCAAAAATGTCGCCCAGCAATGCATAACTTGCCTGGATCAGTTTCACGTGTATAATACTGTGATTTGCTGTATTGTTCAGTTGTTTTTCGTTTTGTTGCAGCTTCATTTCTTTGTGGGTTTGTACTTCCTCATACTGTTCAGATGTTAACTGATAAGAGTAATTTTGCTTACTACATTGATATTTACATTCAGATTTATATTCTCTATGGCTTTTGTTTAATCAATGGCGCGAGGTCCCCACACGCGATATGTTTATGATCTAGATTCAGCCTCCTAGGTTGATATGGGGCATAATCAGATCTTAGATTTTCAGTCAGATTCTTGTACAGTTAGTGAAATGCATCCGACAATAAGTGTTGCCAAATTTGACAAATTGTTTAAGGATAGAATTCATTTTAATTTAAGAACTGTGTGTAATGACTTATGGGAGGCAATTAAGAGGAAAAGTGGATATTTTTCAAGCCTTCTCCCTTAACCCACTTTTTTGATGGAGTAAATTGCTGTAAGAGTAGCTTTTTACTTGCTTCCTGTTAAGATGAAGTCAATGACTTACCCACTGATAGGCGACTTGGGTGTCTGGGTGCATTTATTCCGAATATATTTCATTACTATTGATTTAACAACTGTGTATTTGATAGGGTATCTATATGAAAACAGTGTTTATGTTATTTGTAGCTTTTGTATTCCATCCGTTGCTAATTGATTGGCCCATAGCCATATGTTACCATATTAAGTTTTGGTTGAGTGGAATTGATAAGAAATAAAAGTGGTGAAGCCCAAATTAATATTTCATATTTGTGAGAGTGAAGTTGTCACAATATTTGTGAGAGTCAAGTTGTGAATAGTGTAACCTCTGACGTTTTGTTTGTTTCATTATCTTTTTAACACATCTATGTTATTCTATGTCGAGTTCCTAATAGTGGTTGAATGGAATGGAAATGATAGAAACAAAAGTGGTTCTCTCAAGCGCCCATTCCTAATAATCCTCTTTACTATCTTACCCCTCAAACCTAATACTCCATTTGTATTTAAATAAGTGCATCATTTTTTTCATATGGAAATTCTCATATGTATTGTATTATTTCTCTCTTATCTATCAACCCCACATACTTGTTATTTTTTAAAATAAAAATTTGAAGAAATTTGGCAATAGCCCCTTACTATTTTTTTTTTTTTTTTTTTTTTCACCAACTACTTTTTAAACATCAAATTTTCCCACTAAATTGCTCAAAACCCCTTGTATGATATCACTATGGGCCCAACCCATGGATTTTTTTTTATTCACCCTATGTTATTCAATTTCTTAATTGCAAATTCAAATTATATAAACAAAACACAAAATTAAATACCTAATCTCCTAAATTAGATACCTAATTTCCTCAATTAGGGCTAATTATAAGATAGAGTACGAATTCACAATATAGGTTTTCAATTAAAATTGGAGCCTTGCTATTTAGTGATTAATTTACGAAAATGGGGCTCATTTGCATCAAATTCATATAATATGTCTTCGATTAGTACCAAAATTGATATAATCGTTAAGAAAATATTATTAATTATTGTTATGAATCATTACGATTAATATGTCAATTTGGGGGGTTTTCTTAACTTTAATTGTACTTTTTTTTCTAAAATATGAGTTATAATCATAGATTGAGCATATATATATTTATTCATTTTAAACTTAATTGATGTAAATTATGCTTAATTTAGAAAATCATCTCAATTTAAAAAATTTCTCAAATTTGGGATAAATCCTAAAGGAATAACAGATTATAATTGATACATATTTAGTGACTTGACTATCTTTTGTGAGCTTGGATTATATGTCGAATCTATTACCATATGCTTTTTCCTAACCCAATTTTAATGTTTTATTGAAGAAAGATGCAATTGAACATGAGAATTGAAGGAAGAGAAGGCACAATGATGTCAGACAAATGTTTAATAAACGCCGAGCCACAATAAATTACTGTGTAGCAGGCTTTGTTTGGAAACAAAAGTATCCAAATATTTACTCCACACGTGTCAGCCAAACTTTCCTTTTTTTTTATTTTATTACAGCCATTTCTCTTTCCTCTTTATTTCTCACCCAACTTTCTCTCTCTTCTGCTCTCATCCTCTTTCTGTTCTTAGCTCAATTTCTCTCTCTTTTGGGCTCAATTTTTCACCATTACAAATTCGATTTCTCAATTTTCTAGGTTTTAATCTACTTTTCGATTTCTATTTTTAATTTTTTGCATTTTTCTTTTAATTATTGAAGTTTGTTGAAGTTCCAAACGTATCAATGAAGAAGATTAGTACAAATCCACCACATGCAAATATGTTTTCTGAAGTGCTTTACGTTGCTTAATATCAGTAACATTTATGTGATTTTGCTATTGTTGAACTTTGATTTCTATTCTTGATTGCGTTTCTTTTGTCGTTTTTCAATACCTTTTTACTTGTAAATTGTGCAATGAAGAAGGCTAGTAATCTAGCTTCAAATAAATGATGGAGATCTATTATGCATTAAGTTATTTAAGTTTTGCGTATTATAATTTAGTTTCAAACAAATGGAGATCTAAGTTTAATTTTGCGAAATGCTGATGTATAGTAAAATATGGGTCACTTTTATAGTAATATGGGTCACTTTGTGAAAATATGGGTTACTTTTGAAATAAAAACAAAAAACTGATGAGATTTTGGATAATTTTTGTGAACATATGGGTCACTTTTGTTAAAAGAAAAAAGGGTCACTTTTGTGAAAATATAGGTAACTTAAGAAAGAAAAAAAAAACCACTCTGTATTACTGTTTACACGCGTGAAATGTTCGACGTACAATAAAATTATTTTAAATCGGGGGCATGCAAAAGTTTTTGATGATGTCATATAAGAGGGTTTGGGCAATCTAGTGGAAATTTTTTATGTTAATAAATATAATTGCTGGTAAAATAAAATAAAAAATATTGTAGGTAGTAATTTCTAAAACGACAACAATAGTAGGTGGTTATTGTCAAAATTCTTATATATTATCTTTGTCTCACCATAAAAACCTCATTCGTTTGAATAAAACATTCCCGCGTTAAATAAACTTTTATCAACTGATTATATACACTACCTTTTTTTTATTCATTTTATTTCAGTTGTCTACCTTCTACATACAATTGTTGTACTTATTTAAAATCGAAAGGAGTAATAATATTTACCTCTCTCTACTCACTCTTTCTCTCTATCTCTCAATCATTCACCTTTTTATTACATCCATCAACCTTTTAATATATCCACTTTTTCCTTATATTTTATATGTTTTACCGTCTCTCCTCTTCACCTTAATTGATGTGCAAATAGTATGTTAAGAATATTATGTAACATTCTTCTTCAAAAAAAAAAAAAAAAAAAAAAAAAAAAAAAAAAAAAAACCATTACATAACAAAGATAGTGTCAAATAACAACTAGAAACCAAATACTTTCCCCATTTTTTTTAGAAAAAATAGGTAAAAATAATCCCAACTTTGGGGTGTAATAAAAGCGAATACACCCCAAAATTCGGATTATTTAAAATAATCGAAAGTTGGGATTAATTAAAGCGAATACGTGAAAGTTGGGATTATTTTTACTAATTTTTCCCTTTTTATTTTTATTTTTTTATTGAGACGTTCTATAATCACATTTGCTAATGCAAAATTTTAAAAATAACAATCTCTATTTATCAACATTGCAAAATTGTAAAAAGTGGATATTAATAAAATTACATTGAGACGATTTAAACAAGATGTCACATGACACTACTAGAAATAGGGCAATTTACGACGGACGTGTTCGACACGAAAATCCGCCGGAAAAAACGTGATTTCAGAGGGATTTAAGTTCCTTTGGAACTTTCCGACGAAATTAGATTATCCGTTGGTAGCTTCCGACGGAATTATACAACATTCCGACGGATTATATAAAAAAAAGGGGTTTTAAAAACACGAAACCCTGCGCTTTCTCCTCTCCACGCCTCTTTTCTCTTTCTCTCTCCTCTCTTCTTTCCTCTTCCCCTCTTTCTCCTTCCTTTCCTTCACCTTCCTTCTCCTTCCATGGCGGCTCGGCGCCCCTACTCCTCTTTCCTCTCCCTCTCCTTCTCCTTCCTTCTCCTTCCATGGCGGCTCGCGCCCCTACTCCTCTTTCCTCTCCCTCTCCCTCTCCTTCTCCTTCCTCTCCTTCCTTTCCTCTTCCCCTCTTTCTCTTTCCTCTTCCCCTCTTTCTTTTCATTTTCGATTTGTTTTATTTGGGTTTCAATTCAAATTAAATTCAAGATTTTCATGTCAAATTCGACCATGAAAACTCTAGATCTAGAGTTTTCATGGTCGAATTTGACCTTGAAAACCCAATTTCAACGGTTTTTTTGGTCAAAATTAAGGTATGTGTCTTTTTTTTCTTCTTAATTAACTTGTTTATTTTTCTGATTTTTTTGAAAATTTATGGTGTTGTTGAATTATGGATTTTTTTTTTTTGGTTGGTTTCGGTGGTTGTTTTGGGTGGTTTCGGTGAGGTGGGTGGTGGGTTTGGGGAGGTGGTGGGAGGTGGGTTTCGAGGAGGTGGTTTCGGTGGGTTTTGGGGAAGTGGGTTTCGAGGTGGTGGTTTCTGGGTTTCGGGGAGGTGGGTTTCGAGGTGGTGGTTTCGGGGAGGTGGGTATGGTGAGGTGGGTTAAGTTGGGGAGGTGGAGAGGCGGGTTAAGGTGGTATGGGGGCTGCTGGGGGGGGGGGGTTCTGTGTGGGTGGTGGTTTGGGTGTGTGTGTGGGGGGGGGGGGGTGGGTAGTGGTCCGGGTTGGTGGTGGTGGGTGGTGTGGGCTGGTGGCGGGGGTGGGTATGAGTGGGGCTGTTTTTTTTTTTTTTTGTTTTTTTATTGACTTTTCCGACGGAATTTTCCGTTGGAATATACCTTTTCCGACAGAAATTTCCGTCGGAATATCTCCAATTCCAACGGAAATTTCCTTCGGAAAACTGCGACGGAATTTCAACAAAAGTCAAAAAAAGTGCCGACAGAAATAAATCCGTCGGAAGTTCCGTCGAAATGGACCTTTCCAACGGAAATTCCCTCGGAATATAGCCAAATTCCTAGAAAATTTAATGCGACGGTGCCTTCCGACGGAATTGTCATTTCCGACAGGAATTTCAGGGTATTCCGAGGGATTATTTTCGTCGTTGATTAGCAGTTTTCTAGTAGTGTGACTATATTAA